CAGCACCTGAAATGCTGAGCGTGGATGCCTATTGGTCCCGGTTGGTGGCACCAACCGGGACCAAAGGGCCTCCTGTCTGGGCTTGCCGCACCGGCCACGTGGAGGCCTATCTGTCCCGGTTTATGTAAGAACCGGGACTAAAGGTCTAGGGCATTAGTACCGACACTTTAGTCCCGGTTTAAAAACCGGGATAAATGGCCCTTACAAACCGGGACAATAGGCCTTTTTTCTACTAGTGCTCATTTCTCCATGCTTTTGTTTGGTTATGTAGTTCACATTTCGTCTTTGTGATCACATGTAAAGATTTTCCTCTTGTCTTTGGCTGCAAAAGAAAAAGAAAAAGGATAAATGCTTTCTTTTTCGAAAATTATAGAATACATATACGCCGCAAAACGAACGTGCGCAAAAACCGAACGCGTGACACTTGTTGGGTCCAGAAATAAAATGAACGGCGTTGGCGTGGTGCCTGCAAACAAGCAGGTTTCGCTCCCGTGGCGAAACATACAACGAAAGGGACCATCGTACGTACTACGTGGGAAGCAAGGAGTGTACTGCACAATTTGTACGTGACATTGCCGGACCGGTGCCGGTGCAATATTTCTCTTTTGGAACAAGAGACCGTGGCAAGCAAGAAGGGACTCGAAGGACCTAGACTCACTTGAAAAAAATAAAAAAAAATTACTCACGTCAAATAAGCATTGCAAAAAAAAATCTTACAAAAGGAACCGTCTACAAAAGCAAAATTATAACCCGGTCCAAAATATTATGCAAACAACCACCCTTAATCATGAAACTAGGTTGCAGTCTAGTCCTTTTCAAATGTAGAGGGCATAAGATTTAACAACTTTATTCTTTAAAAAGTGGCAAGTGATGTGCCCATCGGTCGGCAGCGAGGCGGACTTTGTCGATCTCAATACCTGCCGGCCCATTCTATCGAAGATGTTCATAGGGGTCGGGCATGCGTGTGGATTCATAGGGGGTAGTTATGTTCCGTGTTTTGCAAAAAAAGAGAGAGAGAATAAGGCACTGTATTGAATTGGTGCTAGTTCAAAACTGTGACAACGATAGGAGGTAGTAACATTTTTTACTTTGCACGTAAAGAAAACATTTTTTACTTTGTCTTTAACCGCAATAAAAGAAAAAGGAAATGAAACATGTATGTACATACCCCCTCCCTCCCTCCCCCAACTTGGTTATCTACCTTCATTTTGAAGGATGGCGCTCGACCTATCATTAGCGTGGTACAACAATATCTCTGGTTCGAACAAATCCTTTATTATCGAGATTTTAGTGTGAGAATTTTTAGAAATTCCTTTTGTGAGAGACTTCTCCGTGCAAAAGTGTTTTGTTTTCTACCGCATCCAACATCTTAGAAAATACACTATATCCTTGGATGGGGGTGATGATGGGCGGCGGCGGCGATGGTCTGAGGAAGCAGCGGCGATGAATGTATCGGCATCCCTATACATTCTTGACAAGCTTACTAGGCGTTCTCAGCAAAAGTGGATGAAGCGGCATTTGGATGTGTTATTTGGAGTAGGATTCTAGCGCCGAGAACCCTTATGGCTCTTTTGATTCAAAAGATTTCTAGCCAAGAACTTCACTAGTCGGGCCCAGCGACACCGCCAGAGCACAGGGACCAGGTAAGAAAGACCTTCATTTTTTGCCACATATATAAAGGAAAAAAGAAAAACTAGCTTGTTTGTTCTTGCTTTTGATTGGTTATCAATTCACGCTTCATGTGGGCCCATGGTGACCGGCCACATATATTGACCAGCTTGTGATCCCATGTACTAGTAGGATTTTCCACCTTGTCTTTGGCTGCAAAAGAAAAAGGAAAGGGACAAGAATGCTTTCGATTTTTTATTTTTCTTTAAAACCCGACGCCATAGAAATACATGCACACCGCAAAACAAACGTGTGCAGAAACCGAAGGTGTGACACTTGTTGGATCCACAAATAAAATGCACGGCGTTGGCGTGGTGCCTGCAAACAAACGGGTTCCGCTCCCGTGGCAAAACATACAACGAAAGTGACCATCCATCGTACGTAGGCCTGATGAGTACTGCACAAAGCTAACTGTGATGGCCTGCACAATTTGTACGTGACACTGCCCGACCGGTGCAACATTTCTTTCTTTGGAACCGGGGAAGGGCCTCCAACGACCTAGACTCACTCACGTCAAATAAAAACATCTTACGAAAGGAGCCGTCTACAAAAAGCGAAACTACAACCCGGTCCAAAACCTCATGCAAACAGCACCCCGAATCATGAAACTAGGTTGCAATCCAGTCATTTCTAAAGGCAGAGAGCATAAGATTTAACAACTCTATTCTTCAGAAAGTGGTTAGTGATGTGCCCGTCAGTCGGCAGTGTGGCGGGCAGAATTTGTCAATCTCAATAACCGCCGGCCCATTCCGTCGAAGGTGTTCATAGGGGTCAAGCATGCGTGTGGATCCATAGGGGTGTATGTGTGTGTAGTTATGTACCGTGTTTTAGAAAAAATAAAAAAAATTAAGAGGAGGGCACTCTAGTAAGCGTCGTAGCTCTAGAGCCAGTGGTGAATCTAGCATGGCAGTGGAGGGTAGGCTTAAAACATCAGGTTCCTAACCCTAATTAGCAAATGCATTGTAATCATTGCATGTAAAATACCTCAACATAATTGTCAAGTGGTATGTTTATTAGCTGAAAAATAGGATTTTTTGGGGGGCCGGCTTAAGCCTATTGAAGCCCTCCTAGTAGAATCACCACTGTCTAGAACATGGGGTTGCTGAACTGGACTAGTTCATCCGTTGCTCGATACATCCCTTCCCTTCCCCCACCATGACGTCTAGGAAAGATATGAGGAGGATGTGAACCAAGCTCCAAATCCAGGAAGCCCTATGAGCTTACTGAGGCCAAAAAGAGCCATTGCCATCCAGATCTGACCGTAGCTCGCTTGCACCGGAACCCTTCTCCCAATGGACACATCGCCAGCCGCCATAGAGGCACCTCCAACTACTTGTCTACTACAGCTATATACAGGGAAGACCCAGCCTCCCCTACCACTCCCATTATGGTCGTTGAGATCACCGAACGAGGGGGAGAACTTGACTATTCTCAAGAAAGGTGGCCAAAATGGGCTGGTCCTGGCCCGATAGCCCGCATGCCCGGTCAGAAACATTTATAATCGGGTCGTGCCGGCACGTGGCCCGTCTAGGGCCGCGCATGGGCCGCAAGACTAAGCACAAGTGTCGGTACGGCACGACCCATTTTACTTTTCTTTATTATTATTTTCAGCTTTTTTACGAATTAGCCCCTAAGGGGGGTCCCAGATAAAATAAACCCAAAATCAGGTGGGGCTAAATGTGCCGATGGTGTTGTTGTGTGGTGCCCGGGTCAGGGAGCGGGGCGCGAGTTTTGGACCGACACGGCCCGCGTATTACGTGTACCTGGGGCTGGGTGTGCCGTGCCATGCCGGCCTATCTGGCCAGGTTTGCTCGCAAGGATGAGGACGGGGGGTTCGAGCAGAGAGAAATGAGAGGGGAGAATTCACCAATGCAAATTGCAAAGGCTGCTTGAGTTGCAAGTTGCGTTGCAACCATGCACAATCACCACTAACACTAGAGGAGGAAGAAGCTAGGATGAAAAGGAAAGAAAGAAAAGTCTTTTTTTTTCTCTCCTTCCCCTTCCAAGAGGGAATTCACTGGCCCATTCACTTCAGATTTCACTCACTCTCACTCCTCAGTCACTGGCCCGAGGTCCCCATCTCCAGCCGACCCGACCCGAGCTCCATCCACCCATCCATGGTGACGGTGGGATCGGGACGGAGGACATAAAAGAGAGACACAAAAACAAATGGTGGCCAAGAAAGAAAAGGAAGCATACACGCGCACACGCAACGCCACACCACATACACGCGCACCTCCCCTCCCCCCTCCACTTATGATCACCACCATGTCCTCCTCCTCCTGCAGCGGCCTGGGCGGCGGCGCGGCGGCGACCTCAAAGCGCAAGTCGCCTGAGCCGACGTCGGTGCTGTACAACCGGAGCCCCAGCCCGCCCACCTCCTCGTCCGCGCACTCCTCCGAGCCGCCGCCCATCAGCGCCGAGGACTGGGACGCCGTGCTGCTCTCCTCCGGCGGCTGCGACGACGCCATGGCCGCCGCCGCGCACGGCACCCGGGAGGACAGCTCCTTTCTTAGGTGGATCATGGACGCCGGGTACGCGGACGGCGACGGGGACGCCTTCGGCTTCAAGGGCCCCGCCCCCTTCGACCCCTCCTTCCTGCCCCCGCCCCCTCTCCACCCGCCGCACCGGGAGGAGCCGGAGGAGCAGCCCTTCTCGCTCCCGCAGCTCCCGCCGCAGCTCTCCGTCCCGCAGCATCCGCATCAGCAGGTCCATTTCCCCGTCTCCTCCGCCGCAGCGGGCGTCGCCGGGGGAGGAGATGGAGATGGAGATCTCGAGCCCCAGGCGGCGGTGGACGAGCTGCTCGAGGCGGCGCGGCGCGCCGACGCCGGGGACCCCGCTGGCGCGCGAGAGATATTGGCGCGGCTCAATCACCGGCTCCCCTCGCCGCCCGCCCCGCCGGGGCACCCTCCCCTGCTCCGCGCCGCCGCGCTGCTCCGGGACGCGCTCCTGCACCGCCTCCTCCCGCCCACGCCCAGCAGCTCCGTCCTCTCGCCGCTCGACGTCGCGCTCAAGCTCGCCGCGCACAAGGCGCTGGCGGACGCGTCGCCCACCGTCCAGTTCGCCGGGTTCACGGCCACGCAGGCCTTCCTCGACGCGCTGGGCGCCGGCGCGCGCCGCGTGCACGTCGTGGACTTGGACATCGGCTTCGGGGGCCACTGGCCGCCGCTCATGCAGGAGCTCGCGCACCACTGGCGCCGCACCGCCGCGTCGTCGACGCCGCCGCCGGCCCTGAAGGTGACGGCATTGGTGTCGCCGGGGTCGAGGCACCCGCTGGAGCTCCACCTCACGCAGGAGAGCCTGGCGCGCTTCGCCGCCGAGCTGGGCATCCCGTTCGAGTTCGCCGCCGTCGCCTTCGACCCCTTCAGCGCCTCGCCGCCGCCGGGCCTATCCGCGGCGCCCGACGAGGCCGTCGCCGTGCACATCACGGTCGGCACGGAGACCTCCGGGCCAACACCAGCCTCCCTCCGCGTCGTGAAGCAGCTCCGGCCCGCCATCGTGGTGTGCGTGGACCACGGCTGCGACCGTGCCGACCTGCCGCTCCCGAGCCACGCGCTCAACGTGCTCCGCTCCTGCGCCGCGCTGGTCGAGTCGCTCGACACGCCCGGCGCGTCGCTGGACGTGGCGGCCAAGGTCGAGCAGTTCATCCTGCGGCCGAGGGCGGAGCGCCTGGTCGCCGGCGGCGAGAAGCTGCCCCCATGGCGGTCCACGTTCGCGTCCGCCGGGCTCGCGCCGCTGCAGCTCAGCAATGCGGCGGAGGCGCAGGCCGAGTGCCTGCTCCGGCGCACGGCCAACCATGGGTTCCACGTCGAGAAGCACCAATCAGCGCTGGCGCTCTGGTGGCAGCGGTCGGAGCTCGTGTCAGTGTCGGCATGGCGGTGCTGATCCATCATCCCCTTGATTACAGAGCCTGAGCAGCCCGGTACAGTTGTAGTTCATCTTGTTACCAAAACTTGAATCTTTCGCAAGTAGTACTACTGTAGTAGCCAATCTTGGTGTGTGATATATTACTTACTAGCAATTTGAGGCATGAAGAATGGAAATTCGAGATGCCGAAAAACTGTTAACCCCCCAACCTGCGTTTTAATTGTTGATATTGTAATCCTCCAGTGTGATCATTGTGTATTATGCCAGTCATATTTTCAGACTGATTGAAGTTTAAGTCCTTTTTTGTTTCCTCCTCTTTATAATTATGTTTTTGCCAGTGGAAATCAACAAGGATTTTCCAGGCAAATATCATCAGATCAACACTAATTCAGTTGAAACCTGTTGTAATTTGAACTAGTAGCAGAGTATATGTATGCAACTGATTTATGCTGATTGATTAAAGTGTTCAACAGATCCCTAATTAAACCAGACTATGTATGTATGCATCAATCAGCTTGCAACTAAGGTTTTATGCTGATAGATGTGACAACTCTAATTGTATAAGATTTTTCTTTGTCCCCTCTGTATTTTCTTTGGAGTAGGACATCAAAGATGAACTGTAGATATGGATGTGATGTGCCTTTATTTACAAGTCAGGTCCATTGTACCAGTACCTTTCACACATCAGGATTTGCATACTGCACACATATTTTTCTTTCCTGCATGAATTATCCTGTGGTTTTTTCTCCTAAGCTTGGAAACTGCAATTTACTACACATTGCCGCAATTTGAATAGTGTGGGGTTGTTGAGATGGCATGGAAAATGCAACTGTAGTGCATCAAATACTGAAATTTAGGGTAACATGTATGTATGCTATATCATCCTCCTCATCATACCTACTGTTAAACATGGGAAAGTTTCGGTTGGGGCATCGTCATCGGCCTCTGATGATGTGCATTGCCCTAATCTTGCAACTCTGTTTCGTTAACCAATTAAGGAACATTCTGGAAAGAGGTACATGCTTATAGTTAGTAACATGTTTGTTTTTTCAAATGACATATGAGATGTTGCTGTCACTCAATTCATCTATATCTTTTGCTTTCAGAAGAGTTGCGGTTGGTGCGTCGATTTGCGGTTGCTACCAATGTGGATTATGAACCAATATTACAAATTTAATTTCTCAAGCAAAGCCTAGATTTTAGCGGAGTCCGAAGCTGATTTCGCCTGTCCCAGCCAGCAGCCTCTATATGGAATTCATTCTGGAGTCGTCGCCATTACCTTTCGGTATCATGATAATAGGCACTGTCCTCTTGCATTCGGCTGCACAAATGAAATGCAAGTTGACCTTTGAGCAGTTTCTATATGAAGTTGAGGGTTTTTCTTGGACCCTTCCTGAAGATCATTGCAAGCTGAAGCCTTTCTTGTGACACTTTGATTTGTCTTGCTGGCTGTCCTCATCTCTCACTCTCAGCTTCCATTCACCATAGTAGTAGCACCACCACTAATGGTCTACCACATATGGCTACACAGCTGAGGCCTGAGATGTCATTCTTGTTCTGCCTTGGATGGAAGGCATGAGAGATATTTTTTAACCTAGCTTGAATTTGGCTCTATCATAGCCAAGCAAGCTCCTCAGCAGCCTGTCATCCCTTGTCCACTCCAATGCACTAGTGGCAATTATTTCCTATGATATGATATGATGCAGTAGTAGTATATTGTGCTTAGGGCATGAATCATATGGGTGTCACATGGGGCTTGCCCCTCATCACATGTACACCTCAGTTTCTTATATTTCACTTGGCCCCCTCCACACCCTATCAGCCAGGTTGATTTGTATATCTCTGGCTACACATTAGGTGAACTTTCTTAATTCTCTCCTTATTTGGCTCCACATACCAGCATTAGGTTAGCTTAATCACATGATGCAGCTGAATTGCACATATTTTGTTATTTGCAATGGTGACCTCAAGCTTATATTTTTCATTTATTTTAATTTTTTTGCAATGTGACATGTCTGGGAAAAAAACCCAATCATTCTTCCAAGCTCAACTGATCCATAGAGTAGATCAATCAGACAGGAGTTGGAGGGGGAAAGAAAAGAGGAGATCACATCATGGACCACCCTTTTTGTTTGACTTTTTTCTTCTTCTGATAGATAGATAGATGTAACCTGATATTATTTTGTGAAGAGGTTGGAGATTATGACCCCCAAACTACATCTCCTAGGACCACAAATCACACCATCTCATCCATACAAGAAGCTTGAACAGCACCTTAACAATGAAGTGCGGCTGCTGTTTCCTCCCCAAAAGAAGGCATCTCTGTTGCTTCTCAACCCTGATGCCTTGCAGGTGAGATCACTGCTTTACAGCTTTCTCTTGCTGCATAGGAAAGGTATTTTGCAGTGCTCAAGCAAAGTGAGGATCTGGGCACCCCAGCTCCACATGAAAGTTCATCAGACTGCCAAAGTGCTGATTTTCACTCTTGTTTTTTGTACCAGTGCCCTTCTCTTTCAACATTTTGTATTACTACTTTACTTTGGATGCAAAGATAACCCTTGTCGACACGTTAATTACCGCGATAATTTTTGCAAAGTAATGTCTGGCAAAAAATGGGAAACAAGATTAAGTAGAGATCACATAGATCAATGGGTCTCCACTGTCCAGTCAATGTCAATGTAATTCAGCTCAGATCTTAAAATAGGACCAAGACAATGATTGCCAGGGGTCCATGGATCAACTGATAACCATTCAGTCAAATGGGGGAGATAAGGAGGCACCAAATATGCGTGCGCGAATTAAAGAGCATTTCCACATCAAAGCAAAAGGCCGTCACACGACACGTAGAGCCAATATAAGCCGATTAAAACGTCGATGGAGACGGCCATTTTTTTTGTATGATGATGATGATGACGCCGCCAAATGAGCATTTCTGAGGAAGCTTTCACTCCCTGCCTCTCCTTTTCAAGGATGCCTTGCACACACAACCTTTCTTTCTTTATATCCATCTGCCTCCTTTCACACCAGGATTGGGCACACTAACAAGTCAAGAATATGATAAAGTCAAACAGCAACAACAATACTAGGCATCCTACCCCAAGCAAATTATTCACTATTTCTTAACGTTTGTTTGTAGGAACGAAAGGCCCATCATATCGCCCCGGTCGAGACGATGGCCCAAGCAAATTGTAAAGGGAAAAGGTTGGGTTTGAAGGTCTATTTCAGCGTGTCTCTTCGTCTGAAGGCTGCAACGGTCTTTTGGTACCATTCAGCACCTTGGAAGGAGAGCAAGATCGCCCACCGAAAGTGCTTAGGGTCTCCTGATCTTGACCTTGAGAGTCCATTGTAGCTTCCCTTCCGGGCGTGGTATATCCCTCGGTAAGCGAAGTGGCACCTCGAATTCTCCGAGGGATGACAATGGGGACACAAGGTGCAAATTGTCTGGGTAAATGTTGACATTGAGCTGCCTTGCCACCTGTTGGTAAAGAATGATGTTACTACCTACGATTAAGGTTTTTAAATAAATAGCGGATGACAACGCTGGAAGGGAACCTCAGAAACAATTTCATCCTTCGTTACTGGAGTGCGCAACTCGATCCCTTCGGAAATGAACCGCCTGAACACCTATGAAACATAAATATTTTTATCAGCACTTGCTAGTACTGGACAAGATTGTCTATATGGAACAATGAACAAAAGTATGCTGCATCAGGACTCCAAAATTTGGTGGAACCATACTAACCAAGAGAGCATTATCGAGCCGTTTTGCTGCTGCTTGACACTGCTTCAGTTTCTCTTCCGCTTGCTGTTCAAATGGTTGAGTTGAGAAGTAAATGAGTAACATTTTAAAACAAAATGAAGTATGACTGGGAAAACACATACAAGATCTGTATTTCACTGAACTGAGAAAGCATCAAAAAACAAGAACTTCCATGTCAGGATTCAGTTACAAAAAATGCTGATTTAAGTAAGCATCAAAAGGATCTTTTCTATGTACAGTATGAACTGGATGAGCTGGACGTTACAGTTCAGAGGACAGCTGATACTATACTTGTATATCTGAAAAACAGTATTGGAACAGTGTTGAGTAGCTGGCTACAGTGATAAATGAACTTAAGAGGCACTATATTCTAAACATAATATCTAGAAGCCAAGAGGTACAAGAAGACTTTTCCAAGGCAACATGTTCACTATTTTCAGCACCATGTGTTTAGAGTGGGCTTGAAGTGCGTTAACCAAAACAAATCCACCATAGACAGCTCTGGATTGATATGGTGTTAAATAGCAAACGGAGTTTAAGAAGATGAATAAGAGAGGCCAGTTGGAAAGCCAAAGACAGATCTAGACAGAAATTGTGTTTGAATGGCAGTTTCAGAAAGGAAGAGAAATTTGGTGTTAAAACCAAAATGAAGTATGGCAGGGAAAACACATACAAGATCTATAGTTAACCGAACCACAAATTTTAGGAGCTAGATTTAACAATAACTTCAATATCAGAGTATTCAGTTACAAAAAAGGGTTTTAAGTAAGCATCAAAGGGATCTTTTCTATGTACAGTATGAAATGGATGAGATGCACATTATAGTTCAGAGGACAGCTACTATACTTGTATATCTGAAACACAGTATTGGAACAGTATTGAGTAGTTGGCTACAGTGACAAATGAACTTAAGAAACACTATATTCTAAACATAATATCTAGAAGCCGAGAGGTAGAAGAAGACTTTTCCAAGGCAAAATATTCAATATTTTCAGCACCAGATGTTTAGAATGGGCTTGAAGTGCGTTAACAACAGATCCTCCAAAGACAGATCTGGACAGAAACTGTGTTAAATGGCAAAAGGGGTTTCAGAGAAGGAACAGGATGGGTCAGTTAGTTGTGTGCTAAGAACTCATCGACACTTCAGTTCATGAAAAAGGAGGAACTACTCAGTGCACGACATACCCGAGCATCATCCTCCTCCTTTGAGACTTCTTTGACAACCACCTCCTCTTCGCGCTTGTAAAGCTGATCAAAC